TGTGTGTGTGTGTGTGTGTGTATGTGTGATAATCCTGTTGTCCGGCGAGTAGATCTACGTGGAGTTGGACGTGCGCTACAATCCAGTTGAGGGCGCCGCAGGAGGATGGGAGGGACAGGACTTCATCAGAGTGGAGGACAAAGATGAGTAAGAAGTCAAGCGGAAAAACTAAAAAAGTCAGAATGTCTCGGGTTGGATGGACTTGTATGAGGTCACTTGTCGCTAGGCAGAATTCAAAATCACACAGATCAAGCTTTTCTTGGCGTTTTGGTTTTTCGTCTGCAAAATCACGCCATTGTCTGTCTTTCTTGTGTGACGAGTGACGCGGATTTTTTTGTTCGGTTGATTTGTCTGAGTTTGTTGATATTTGTTGAGTATGTCAGTTGCTCTGTTCATTCTTTGGCATGCCAGTTAGTTTACTAGCTTACTAGCTGGCGACTCAGTCAGTTAATTAGTTCGTGATTTCATTGTTCAGTGAGTTGGTTGTTTTGTTAGTTAGTTACTTTTTCCATCCTTTATTATGTGTTTGTTTTTAATTTTTTTCCTGTTATATTGTGATTTAGTCACCCAGTTAGTTACCGTCATTTTTTAAAATGAATAGGTTGCTGTACTTGTTGCTTAGTTTGTTAGTTCATTCCCTCTTTAGTTAGTTGTTTCATCAGTGTTTTTGTGAGTTGTTTCATTCATTTGTTCTTTGGATAGGTAGTTCATTTTAATCCTGCGTGTGTTTCTTTTTTGAATCTGTGTTGCTCAGCTCATCGCTGGGCTTCCAGAATGAAGCCTTTGAAAATGATGAGAGGTGAGAGGGACTTCACATCACACTTGCATGAACGCGCACGCACGTCGCACCACCACACGGACAAAACCAATCTGGTCTATCCTGACCAAGCCCACCGATGTTGAGTCGTCTGGAGAGGGAGCTGGAGAGGGAGGCCCGACAACTGGGGCGCGACCTCATCCGCGGTCAGGGCGACCACGACGACTATGACGACTACGACGACGACGACGAAGACGACCTGCTGGACATGGAGATGTCTGATATCGTCTTCACTCCTTTGATGAGGTCGGCGAGAGTGTTTTCATTGCGCATTTCTGCGTTTGACTATTTGTCATGTTCAATCGAAGTACAGATTTCTTTTTTAAATGAATGCCGATTAGTTCTTGACCTTCTGTCTGGTGGAAGAGATTCGATTTGTCATGCCTGTTGTTTGACATCGCTAGCATAGACACACATGTCCAAAAATACAAATCTTTGGGAGTAAAGAAGCATGTGTGTGCGTAAATGTGTGCAGTCGTTCCAGGCCGCTGTCTCGGCATGTTGCTGCAGCCACGCCCAGGGTTCAAAGTTTCCAGGTAAGAATGCCACCAAAAAAGGCGAAGTCATTTTCACAAGTCCAGGTTTAAACTTGTCTAAATTTGGGCTAATTAACTGGGGCTAAAAGAAGGGCCCACTCCAGGAATAGTAGCTCAAAAACTACTAGGTAGGGACGACAGTATTGCCCGAATTTCCTTCCTATATGTAGCTACTAAAGGTCCTCATATCTGAGCGCTGAAAGATTGGCCTGCTCAGATACTCCTTTGAAGAGTTCCGGGAAATGTTCAGCTGCGAATACACGTGATTGGCTGATTGCAGGTCAACGTCAACATCTTGGAAGCGCAGAAACTGGCGGGCGTCAACATCAACCCAGCCGTGTTCATCCGAGTGGGGGATCAGAAGAAACACACGGCCACGCAAAAGTCCACCAACTGTCCCTTTTACAATGAAGTACGCGAGGCCACCACACACCACAACCGACAATAGAACACAACAAAAACCCTGCAGTCGAACGCATTAAAACACGTTGCCATGCGCGAAAACCCAATCGAGACACAATGCGTTGTTCTCAATTCCTGTTGCAGAACTTCCAGTTTGAGTTCCATGAAACTCCAGAGGTTCTCTTTGACAAGGTTATCGAGATCAAGGTCGGCCCCGCCGTAATCGCTGGCTCGTTTCCATGGTGACAGGCCGCCAAAACTGTCCCGAACTGTCCGCCCTTGCAGGTGTACCACCGCCGAACCCTGCCCTTCCTCACGAGCCACGTGGGAACCTTCAAGATCGACATTGCCACCGTGTTCCATGAGCCAGGTACGGTCAAACGAGCGCAGGCGTGCCCCGCGGGCCCGCATGAGCGCTCGACTCATTTGCAGACCACCGCTTCTACGAGAAGTGGGCCCCGCTCACTGACCCGGCTGACACCCGATCGGGGGCCAAAGGCTACGTGAAGGCCACCCTCAGCGTGCTGATGAAAGGCGAGGCTCTGAACGCCGGCCTGCCGCCCGCCACGTCCGGCGCCAACGACGACATCGACAAGTCAGTTCGTCCGCATTTTTCAACCCCCGAAGCGAGTTTCACGAAGCAACCGGACATCCGCGATCATGACCCGTCAAAAAGTCTCAAGAAGGCACAGCAAGTCAGAAGACATTTTGGTTCGAAGCGGACATTTTCGGTTCAATTTAGCAATTTCTACGGTTCCTTCAAAATCTTAAAATATTTGGAAAATTCTGCCCCCCAAGGCAGTTTTAAATGAAATTGGGTAGCCATGTCTCTCATGAGTACACCCGCATAAAAGTATAAGAAGCCTTGCTTTAAAAAGTTGGCAATCTACCCTTTCTGCTCAAACTG